CATCAAGGGTAAAAATCTGGTAAAGCGACCAATAAAAGTTTTATGACTCTCATTTAGTGAGGGAATCAGCAATAATCCTGACAATTAGACTTCAGTGAAACCATCACTAAGTGAGAAACTAGCCGAGCAAAGCATAAAATGCTTTGGGTTATTGGCTAAATTATAGATAATTCCTTATTTGATGTATTCTGAGAAGAGCTTGTAAATAATGCTCGTGTTGCATGGTTTTCTACAAAAACCCAAACAGAAAGAAATAAGAAGTTAATTGCGCAAAGGTCTCACTGATGGGAACCATCTGTCAAAACAAGCCATATATTCACTAATTCTAATCATAATTAATTAAATGGCTAACAAATTACATACATCATGGTTTATACAGGGAGGGGAGGAGAAGAGGGGGAACCACCGCAGGAAGTGTTATGAAACAAATTAGTACTAACAATGAAAGAAAATTACATCACATAACTAAATATTATACTCATTTGCGCGAGCAGTATTTCTTAATGAATTCCCTAATTAATTTAATTCACACAATGTGCATAATTTGGAGCTAAAATGTCAGTGGGTCAGACCGAACCATATTGTTGCCGGCTGTCTATTTCTACGAGTGTCGTATTAGCACAACATGACCTCTGTGGAAATTACACAGACAAACTGGTGTAATTTTAATTCCAAGGTATAATTAACATGTTCAGAGGAAATCATACAAGTACATTTAGCTCATGTTGGTGCCAGAATAATGATTTTATGCGATTCCGTTTTGACTACCATAATCCTTTTGACAGGACGTGTTGAGGCAGTTTGTGTGAACAATGAAATTACAAATAGGGTCTTACTTTTTCCAAGTCTTTTATTAACTTTCTCATCAAACTGACTGACAGCTGCAGTGGTTTACAGGTATGTTATGATAGCAAATCTTTTCCCACTGGGATTAACAATTACAAAAATTCAAAAAGCTGCACTGCATGAAAAAAAAATACCACTGGTAATTTAACAGAAACTGTAAAAATGATACACCAGGTAAAATGAAACAATAAAAAACAGAACCCCTAAAATTAATTGTTGTAAATTAAAGAAAAGTTACCTAAAATAAATTTGCACAAACACAGGAAATCATGCACAAGTAAAAGTATATATGTATATTTTAAAGAACTTGTAAAAATTGTTTAATTCTTCTTAAATATAACAACTGGTTTGGGTCCAGACAAGACTTTACAGGTTGAGATCTGGACACTGGTCCRCCTCTGTTCTAAAAGTTCCTGTTATATGTTTACAACGTCTACAATTGTACAAATGTAAATAATTGCCTACTTTTTAATTGAATGCCATTAGGTTTTGTAATAACCATTTAATTGGCCAATATAATGTTACTTTTAAACAATCATTAAATACATTTGTCAATAAATGTTTGTTTCATCATAAAAACAACTTATTTCAAGTCACGTCTGTTCTGTTCTTAAGTCATTAACGTTGTTTATTTCATACACACATATTCACATCAATCTTGGCCTTTAAAATCCTGAGTGGTGCTCAAAAATGGCCTCATATATTTGATAAATTCACAATACTTGTCCTAAACCCATTAAATAATCAGCTAATAGTTTTATTTATAGTGACTGTATCAATGAAAACTTGTGAGAAGACTGGTTTACTGTTTGTGAAAATATCTCCCATTCGGTGCGGTCAAAAACAACAGAATTGATCGTTTTGTACCGTATAGATTGGGAWTGCAGAAATCAGTGCATAAATGAATAAATTGACCAGGAAGCTTGCACGTGCGCTGCAGGGCTCGGGGGCTATCCTGAGGCCAATCATTTAGCTAACACGCTAATGAAAGTGTGTGTAGTGTGGTTAAGGGCAGGCACCATGGGAGGTACCACTCCCCTCCCTCCTCATGTTGGGGACTATTAATAGGCTGGATGGAGCCACTGGTTCTCCCAGGAGAGGCCGGCTGATGAAGAGGAAAACCTGTCGTCGCCTCCACTAATCACTGCCTAATGGCTGCAGTAACACAGGTTTTACAAATGTGACTGGATCTGCACACTGCAGAAATACTGCATGTTTCCGATTCTCGTGATATCTTCTAAATGTGCATCAGGGAATAAATTAAATTCTCTTTTTTTTCCCCTCTGTAACACAAAGTTTTCAAAAACAATGTTTAGTGAAACTTAAAGTGAAGTTGTGTTGATTTGATTTGTTGTTAGAAAAGTTAAATTGCACACTTTTAGTCTGGGCTGCAACATACACTTATTCTTCAGGCTTCAGAAAAAAGCACAGCACCATCACTGCAGCCACAAAAGTGATAAATGATATAATTGTTGCTCTTGATCAAAAGCAGTATTGTGCATCTCTTTTTATTGATCTGTCAAAAGCTTTTGACACTGTGGACCATGCTGTCTTAAAGTACAGACTTTTTTGTTTG